GGATGTTGAAAATACTGTGAACGGAACATGTGAATAACGAGGTGGTTTCAAGGAAAATAGAGAAAATAATGTTAAAATCAGAAAAACAATTCTGGGACACATAATGAGGAAAGAGTGCTTGGAAAATTTAATACTCAAGTGGGACAGAGGTAAACGGCGAGTAACCTACTTAACGAGCTTGTAGGAATGGATGACAGAATATGGAGGGATAGTAAAAAGACGAACATTACTTAGGGGCATGAATGATAAGAACTTGTGGAACATCCTGATCACCTCCATTCTGAAGAGCTCATAGAAGATTATTTTTCTCGCCAAAAGCTTCTCCAATAGCATAAAAATATTAAGATGAACTTCATTATAAACTACAATTATTTTCATTAACACGTACACACTCATCAATAAATGCATTTATAAAACACATACGTTTTATGAATGTGTATATATAGATGTATGTAGAATTCTTTCATGAATTGCCTCGTGTTATTTGGAGAGATGGGCGCCGTCAAATAATTTTCAACGCTGTAAGAAGGAAGCAGCATCGCACTGCGAGTCTCTTCTTGATGAAATCAACTATTACCCTAAGTTTTTCATACCTATCGCCGACCAGAAAACTTTCAACTTTATAGCGAGGTTAAATGAGGAAATAGCAGCGCCAAGATCAACTCTATTCATCTTGCTTACTGGGGCATGTCTCTTTCCAGATATCGTCGTAATGGCTTATTTCACCTTCGTTTTGTCATGATGGAGCAAATGGATACTCAACGTTTGTGTGAATGAATGAGTATGTTGTTTTTATGCAGCAAAGATTATGAACAATACATTTGAGCATGTTTTTTTTTGTTTTTTTGTGTACCAAGTTACATTTGTAATGCGATGCCGTGTATAAGGATACATTTATTTGTAGTTTTTGTTTAAATCTGTGAATAACAAAGATAATATTTAGTAATACGCGTACTATACACATTTTAGATTTTGACTTGTTCTACAAATTGTAAGAATCAGAGCAGATAAATCTGAAGCAATATATATAAAGTGATGCGCTAAGTTTTTCACTAAAATACTATAATTCTCTTATTACTGAAAGTCTTCATTATTTATTAGAAAAATTTTTTTACAATCAGCTATATAAGAAGTGCGTGTGTGTCTGCGTGTGTCTGTGTGTGTGCGTGCGCCCGGGTGTTGGCAGAATATACCGTCGGTAACCTGGCTGCGTATACATCAAAGCTAGTGTTCAAACCCAGCTAAAAGGCCATGATTTCAGTTAATTTTTAAATCGCCATCTTTACTATTTAATTTAAGAAACGTGTGCACCCGTGTGTACGTGTATATATGTATATATGTCATATGTACTTATTTTCTGAAATTATATTTCAGAGGACAAGTGCATATCACACTTGATTTATTTTCTGGAATTATATTTCAGAGAACAAGCATATCACACTTAATTAGTGTTTAATTGAAATCAGTCCTATAAGGACGGATTTCCATTGATTTCTTTTGAGAGTTAGGCCGAGTATAAGGTCTTTATAAAAAGGTATATTAGTTTAGCATATTTTGCAAACTTAGTGTTTTCTTTTTTCGATTCATTAACGATAAAAAGAATGGTTATGTTTATATTTACACTTATATAGACATATATACACATGCAGAAAAGGCATCTCGAGGTGGTGTAAGGGTTAGCGATTTTCCCTCGCTTGAACAATTATGACTGAGTTGTGAGTTCGATCCTCACGGGGTGCCCCATATTTACGGCATTGTGGCACATTTAGGCTTCTCTTGGAAATACACAGACAGAAATATATATTTGCCTACGCTCTTAATTGACGCAAACACAGGTAATTTGAAATAAAATTTTAATTTATTCTTATTTTTGTTCAAGTCTTTCAATTATATAAATATATAAAGTGTATAAAATATATTAATATAAACCATCAGAACTAGATTTTATTTCAACTGCTATATCAGCAGTTTTTATTGTGACAGGTACTGAAGAGGATAAATCAGCTTGAATCGGGAAAGATTTTGAGTAAAAAAAAATGAATATCAGTATTCACCGAAATAGTTTCCATCTAAAATTTCTGATAATAGAATAGAACTTAAAGTGTTTCATTTATTTATACTCTACAAATATTATTTTCATACACGAGTAATATATTTGAAACAGGGAAACATCAAAACAATTCTAATCCGAGTGAACACTTCGGAAATGACTTTAGTGTGCATCTCAGCTAACGTGAAAATTCATTAGCGCTCACAGTGTATTATTAATAAATGTACTACTTGATAAAGATGATGAATTTACCATGTTAATTATTCTGGAAACTTTTTAGCTAAAAATAACAATTGTTAAATGATAAATAACACACTTTTAGAATTGCAGGATTGATAAAACAACAGTATGCACTTTACTTTGCTTTTTACTATTTTTATTTCTTCATAATTGCTGAATATTAGTAAAATTTGCTAAATGTGACGATGATGAATAAGCTGAAAATAAATGGATGTATATTGTAATTTATCTTTTTACACTCAGACACACAGATATATAAATGATTTTATTTCTTATAAGTTTTTTTTTTATTTCTTATTTTTCTTAGCGTATCAAGTGCAGTTTAACCCGACTCAAATTAATATACGTATTGAATTTAAACAAGTATATATACCATTAACTGTAAATCACATAATAAAACCGAATAAATTTTGGTCCGAGAGAATTGGATCTCGATAAGAAATAGTCTACGAACGAAATTGTCTCCCCTTTGAAATTTCTTCATAAACACTTATACACTTTTATCCCCCTTTAAGTCTCCTAGAAAAAAATCGGGTAGTTGTATTGCTCGATATGCTCATTTAATTATCGGTGACTGATGATGCGTATGTTAACAAAAAAATAAATAAATAAAAATCACGTCAGTATCTTCGTTCATCCAAGCATATGTATTTTCAATAGTGAGCATGTAAGTGTGTGTGTGTATCGACATAAGATTCAGTACGTAAGAAAGTCCGTGTATGATTAACCGCCTTCAATAAATGTAAAACTTAAATTTAAAAATCAGCACACAAAATATAATTTTATTTTATGAACACCTGTTCTTAATGCTTCGTTGATCAAGCAAGAAAACAAAGGAATTGACTTTCCTATAACTTTATTTGATGTTTACAATTTTATAATAATCAAAACTCATCATCTCTCACATGATACGTTCTTTTTAACCAAATCCAGTCTAGATGCTGATGTCCATTACTATTGTATTATGATCAAATATTTGTGAATAAACTTAAAATTGAAAGTATTCAGAATTAATGCCAATATCATAAGTAAAAGAAGTTATAATAGTTTATGTCTGTAGTATATCCAATATTCATATAAATTAATTTTGTCGGTCGTTCGCAAAACAAAAAAATAAATAAAGAAAGAAAGAAAATAAAGAAAAATATTTTACTGGTCATATAGATTTTATTGTTTTCAGAGATTATAATAATCCAACTTCGATTCACGGTGTTACAGTAATTAAATTACTATTTGTAATTATTTCATGTTTTCTATAAAAAGGGTGTGCAAGATATTTCAGAATACAATTTTAGCAGGCCATCAATGGAAGACAATGTAATGTTACGCAATATGCGGTAAATTCTAACATTCTTATTTCTCATTTAGACGTATCTTGAACAGCTTTCATTAGAACACGGGAAAGGAAAAACACGTTATTTTCGTAGCTCTAGCCATCCATTTATGAGGTTAGCTATCTCCTAGTTGCTTTGTTTAGCAACTAGGAGATAGCTAACCTCATCAAAGACGTGAAGTGAACAGCAGGAACAAGAGTTGGCTTTGCACGGCACCCACTGAGGTACCACGTTTACAACGGTTCTTGGAGTCGTGAGCATAGAGGGCCATATAACATCACCCTATTTCAATGCCACCGTCTATATTGGCTAAGTGAATCGAGGGGGATGACATTACAGGTTTCCACTACTTCCCACATAACCGTATGATTCAGAAGTGGCTAGTCAAGAATTTTCACCACCCTCGACATAGAGCCTCATAGATCAACTGATGAATAAATTGAACTACTACGTCTGGAGCGTCGTCGAGATGAATCCATTGTTTATCTTCTCGACGACGCCCCCGTAATATCAAGGCCTCTTTTGACGCCTGCCATCGTGAACATGATGGTCAATATGAATGAGAATCACTTGACCCGTGAATGCATCGATGTCGTCCTCAACATTGAAGAATTTTTTTAATACGTACAAACATTTTTGAAAAGTTTTTTTTTCTTTTTTTTTTCCAGAGAATAAATAAGTTTTTCTTCATACTATGAGTTGCTTTCAATTATCTGGTGCACTCCCTCTATTATGTTACAAATTAATTGAGGCCTGATTTTATAGAGTATTAGGTTTTCTTCCTTACACATACACACATGTTTGTACATTCATATGTGAAGAAGAGAATGTAATTGGTTGACTTGAAATGTTAAACATGTTTTCCATTATTTTTAGTTTATAAGTTTTTAATTATTTTTTTTTAAAAGTATTTCTTTTCTGAAGTAAGTAAAATTTATATCTGAAAGAAAATAGTTCAAATAGTTTGCCAATGCAACTAAAATTAATGGAAAACAGATTTACAATTTCAAGTTAACCAATGGTATTCTCTTAAATAAAATATAAAAATTACCATTTCTCATATAATGTTTCTAATAAATGGTTCGCTGTTATATAAATGCTTATGGCTTGTTAAGCAGTATTTGATTATTCATTTTTCCTCCATTCAATAGCTGTTAAATTCTTATAATGGATTATTAAAAATAATCATGCACGTGCCTGCGTCTATGCACGCAAACCTATGCTTTTTATGATATTTTACTGCAATAAATGATACATATATCACTTCCATCACTACATTACATCATTCATATTTTTCTTTTCACTTCAATAATAACTAATAGATTTCTGTCTATATTTTTCTTAATGCGACATATTGTAATTGTTTTATTTTCCAGATAATAAATTTGTCGAATTTGACTGCTACTTGTTCAAGCTCCGAAACAACTACAGCTCTCATTTGTGGAACAACAGTTACACTTCAGTGTAGTAGCAATAGCAGTAATAATAACAACAACAACAATAAAACTGGTCATTCGACTGTAACCACTCGTTCCACTTTATACCCGCCTCCGGTTCAACTTCCGCTAAGTCCAGTTGCAACTTTATCAACTCCATTGTCTTCCGTTTGTACTGTCCCTGACGGGCAAGAGAATTGCCAAGGAGAGAGACATGTAACCTCTGAAAATGGACTTTCATTTGGTTCCCTTACAAAGGTTCAGCAATCATCACATGTTTATGATAGACGTACAGACGACAGCGCTACATCTTTGACATCAGTATCTCTTAGTGTTATTGGCGACCCAGAAACAGGTGATCAGACGAATCTTTCCCTTTTCGATCAGCATCAAACTCGTGAACCTGCACAGGTAGCTTTGCGTCAACAGCAACAACATAACATCTTTCTGATAGAACAAAATTCTAAAGTATCAACTTCGGCAGCATCAAAAACTTCTGAAACAGTTGTAAACCAGCCTGTGTTGGGCGCTGGGGACGAAGCAGTTACCTTGGAAGAAACAAGTGGAGGAAGTGCGTCTCCGCCACTGCTACCCCAACAAACTCCAGCAGCAGCAGAAGCTACAGGTAGTAACAACAACACTCCCACCGACACTACAGTCGGGGTTGTGGAAGTGACAGCAACTAGTGTGGGGATATTGACAACAAGCGGACCAACGTCAACGGCAATTGGAGACGTAAACCTCCACCTCAACCATCAACATCCCCACCACCATCAACAACATAATCAGCAGCAGCCGATACAGGTAATACCGTCATCAGTAACGACCACAGCACAGACCAGTTCGGTACAGGTAAGGCAGTCACCGACAGAAGAAGCGGTTTCCCTTTCCACAAATTCAAATTCAACAAACAAACTCCTTATCCAAGCACTGTCGGCTAAAATCCGACAACGAATGAACGACAGCACCTCGATATCATCTACTTTGGCCCCTTTGGCTTCAACGACCACTATAACAACTGCCTCAACATCGGGTGTCTGCAGTGTGATCGAGCAACAACAGCAAAACAATTCTCATATTAGTAACAACAGTGGAGTGCGTGTAATAACTCCGGCTAACGGTCAGCAAATTACAAATCATCACCTACAACAACAATCCGGTCAGGCCCACTACCACAATATTCCGACAGGTAATCCTTGCACCCTTCAGACAACCCACACTAATCCAACTACCTGCGAGATGGTAATGGTAGACACGTCCATGCACCAGCGAACCATAGAGGAGTCCTCACAACAACAACAACAACAACAGCAGCAACAGCAGCAGCAACAACAACACCAACAGCAACAAGTGAATCATTTATACCTAGAAAGTCTTGACCATGCTGGAACCGCTCATCTTTACGTCAAACAAGAAGGATTTCTGGATGATCTCAGTAGCGGCGACATTTCAGGCTTCGAAAATCACAATCGACTGACCCCTTTACCGCCGGTCAGTACTTCAGTTATGATGTCCGCTCCAACTCCACCCGGAAATGTTGATAGTGGTGGTGGCGGAGGAGGCGGACCAGGTCCTGGGGTGTCCGGAGGTGCAACTAACGGAGGAGGGGCTGGTTTGATTACAAACTCACATGGTCAGTGCCTTCAAGTTCTACAGCCTGTACAGAGCGTTCAACAACATGTACACAGCTTGCAACAACAACAGCAACAACAACAACAACAACAACAACAGCAACAGCAACGTGTGGCTGCAGGAATGGTACCTACAAGCTATCCCGGATCAGTGGGTGGATCAGGAGCAGGTGGTCCAGCTTCATCCACGGACGCTTTTTTTTCCAACTATTTCAGTCGACCAGGTTTAGATGGTAATGGTCAAGCAAACTATGAAACACGTGAGATCATACGCTTGTTCTCCGAAACGCCTCGATTTTATTCGGACCAGTCGCAGGCCATTTACCAGCAGCCTCCCTATGGCGGAAGTTTACAGTCTCCGGATAGTGGATACCATGAGTGTATGTCTCCAACTGAAACCACGGTAAGACATTCCATCAATATTTCTGCCTATATATGCATGTATGCATATAGTATAGAATATATTAACACATACCTGTAAACAACAACAAAAAAAAGTAGCAAGATAAAAAAATGATAATATTCACATCTTATCATTTGTAGTTTGTACTCATGACTGTTCGTCTATATGCTCACGTCTGTATGTAGGAATTATTCTCCGATTAATGAAATTAAAATATGCAAACTCGAAGAATATCAGTGAATTTAGATTCTAAATTTATAAGCATCACTCCTATTAAGCTAAGGCGATTAACCGGATAAGGAAAACACACACATACACACTATGCAACAGGTAGAGGTAGATAGTAGCAGTAAGAGATATAATTTTATCTGTAAAAATATTTTATCTATTTTTGAAAAGAAGAACTTAGATTAGGTGCAACGATTAATTTATTTTTAATTTTAATACTTGTGTTAATAGATATATTCGTACCAAAACAAAGATGTGATGTCCAATATATATATATATATATATATATATATATATATATATATATATATATAGTGGAGACTGTTGTAAACACCGAGCGGCGATAGACTGTTTTTATGCTTGAACGTAATCTTCAGCTTATTTATATATATATATATATATATATATATATATATATATATATATATATATAATATATATATATATATATATATATATATCGTTTATTTGGCAGCTACCTTCTCTTAATATATATTTTGTTGACAAGTACTTTTGTTTATATTTCTGCTTGTTTTTCTTGGAGACATACAATTTTTTTCTTTTCTGGATGTTCGTACGTCCATGAAACCAGAGCCTAATGATGAAATAATAATTTATTATTAACAGCAAATATTTTTCAACGTTATTTCTTCCCATGTCAATACTTTTAATGAAACGGTGAATATTAACTGCACAAATTTAAATCTGTATAAAGATAATTTTAGATGAAACTTTTTAGATGAAACCCATCAAGCTACAAACTTATTGAGCTATCCTTATATATATATATATATATATATATATATATATATATATATATATATATATATATACATATAAATGTTTTCAGATCTTATTAAAAACGTAATAAGTATACACTTAACTAAAAAGTTTCACGTTGACTGAACCGATCGTCAGACACTTAAAACGTTTTAAGCATCTGACGATGAGTTTTTATTACCGTAAAACATTTGGGGCTATGTCGGTAGGATATTGAGCAATATATTGAAAAAATCAATGATAACCTACATTTAACTGAAATTACATTTCAATGATATATATATATATATATATATATATATATAATATCAATTTGAAATTGGTAGGGATAATTCCAAGGAGGAAATTAACCCAAAGAGAGAGTGAGAGAGAGAGGGAGGGAGAAATTGAAAATTAATGACAAAGTCAAAAAATTCTTTTCGTATGACGTGTTTCATTTAGGATTTCATCGAACTAAAGTGACGTTTATGTTGATGCAACTATGCATACGCAAGATGGGGTGGAAACACTGAAATTTTAAACTAATATTGAAATTATTTATTGTTTTATATATGTGTTTGAATATATAGTTTCGCCATTTTCATCTAGTTTCTTTTTGTTTATGACTTTATCATTTTTGTTATTAAATAATTTTGTGATATCATTTTTGTTATTAAATAATTTTGTGATAACAGAAGATCTGCCAAGAACCTGGACATAAATTTAATGTGGATGATCAAGCTATTAAAGAACTTTCTATACGCATGTGTTTTAGTAAAGTGTTTTCACTTTTAATAAAGTAGTACATTTTATATCGAAATTGTGGTCAGTCTCATTGCGGTGGGCAACTAATGCATTGAGTCTGTGGTTTTATAAAAGATTTGTATTCATATAACTTTTTATTTAAATTTATTGCGGCTTCTCTTGTATATTCATTTTTATTACAGCTGATAGAGTAAATTCCTCCTTCAATTTTTCCACTTTGTCATAAATTTCCTCCCATACATATGCATCTATTTATTGCTTATGAATCAAGATCAATCTATTAACTTCTACTAAGAAATGTATCTAAGCTTTATGTTCTATACATTCTATATATTACGCACGCACAGACGCATATATATATATATATATATATATATATATATATATATATATATATATATATATATATATATATATGGATAAAAACTTGTATTGTTGAATTTGATTGATGAGTATACTCTCTGATTTCTCGTACATTTACAAACACTTAAACGTATGAATAACATCATTATAATGAAAAGGCTATATATATATATATATATATATATATATATAAGATAGATAGATAGATAGATAGATAGTGAGAGAGAGAGAGAGAGAAAAAGATAATACAAAGTATATACTAATATTTATACAGTTAATTGATTATTACTTGAAATTTAACCATTAAGAAACAATTTTGTAATAGTCTTCAAAAATGGAGTTTAACTACAAAAGCTCAATAAGTTGATGTCGATTATAGCGTTTATTTTTCACCTAATTTTATTAATAAAAAAAGTCGTGTTGTTATCTGGGGGGGACACTGTTTACAAACTGTAATAGTATATGGGAAATCTTTGCTCACACATACTGATATTTTTAACATTAAATTGATGTAAATTCTTGATAATCTTCCATATGCGCAAACAGACGCATACAAGTGGCAATATACTAACACTAATGTTGTTTTCGCATCAGTCTAGAATTTTGCTCATTCAATTATTTCAAAGTATTTCTTAGCTACTCAGGTTCTGGATTACAATTTAGTTTCTTTGTTGTTAGATTATTTTTTTATCTTGTTATTCTGTCCTAGTAGTTCAATTTGGTAATATACTGAAATATGAACTACATATTCAGCATCAACCTAGATTTCAATTCATGTCCAAGAAAGAAGTGAAAATCATCAGTAGACTACTTCATCAAAAAAGACTTTTTTATTCGATTGCTGCTTACTATCTGCGGAGGCATTGCTGTTGTTAAAAATAAATCGTAAATATATTTTAAAGAAGCGATGATTACATTGAATTAGTTAAATTATTTATCGCGGCGGTATCTGTGATAGAAAATGACGCGAGTACACACGGACACATACACACACACACACACACACACACACACGTTGTGAAAACGTATTAAAATTTGAGTATTTAAAATATTTCAGATATCTGTTTGGATTGGTATTGCTTTTATGTCCATCGTCTTTTTCATGTTGAATTGTATATGGTCTATGTTAATTATGTTTTATGAATATGTCCTGAAGATGGTCTATTAGACCGAAACGTCCGACGTTGACATTAAACATTAAAACAGCATAATCGCATATTAGGATTTTTGTTTGTTTTTTCAGTATATTTTTCTTCATACTGTCGGATCTATATCCATATATTTGCTTATATATATATATATATATATATATATATATATATATATATATATATATATATAATGTAATGGGTAAATTAAAAGTATTGTACGTTAATATTTCTTTAAACGTTAATATAATTTTTAATAGAGAAGCGTAATGTGAAGTAACAATTATAAACGTAAAAAAAAGCAAAAACAGAATCAGCAAAAACAGAATCAGCAAAAACAGAATCAGCAAAACAACTTTAAATTCCAACAAAAGTTTGATTCACCGACAGATACCTTGAAAAATGACACTGCTAAAATTAATGATACTGATTTATCCTGTGAAACTTTCAAGTACTTTCCTTTATTTTATTCGATGTCATGAATGACAAAAATTAGGTTGGTTACACTATCTTCTGTGTTTGGGATCAGACAAACAATCATATAGAAATAATGTCGGAGATAAATGAATTCAACACTATTATAAAACTTCCGTTAGATATTCCATGAAAATTATTAAGTGGCAAGGAATACCAAAATACCTATAATAATAAGCTTGTGTAAAAAATGTAATGTTCATAAAATGAAAAAAAAAAAAAAGATGGTGACGAATAAATCATACTATTACTCTGATTATATATCACAATAAATGTTGAAATATTTGGCTTTATGCACTGATTAACACTTGGCTGCGCATATTGCTAATATGAAGCGCCTTTACATTGCTTATGATTAATAAACATGTTTCTGATCACAAATATAGTGAAACAAGTGACTAGATAATTGGTGTTTTGACTATTATTAGAGAAAACTGCTCCACTCATTGCTTCATAATACTGAAAAATCTTTCTTTTATACCTAAACATGTTGCAAACTAATAAAACGAAATGCTTCTTATTATTCGCCAAGTATTTAGCACCATGTAAATCCGCAAGTACTAACATTGTGTATAACATTGTTCCTGTGTGCATAATTTGTATATTTCATTCACCACAAAATATGAGGGTGAATATTAGTATTCATTTCACTAAAAGGGAATGGTTAATTTCAACAATATAGAATATTAATAATTCTTTGCAAAGATTTCTATATACGCTTTCACATAATTACAATTGCAGTCATATAGTTTCATTAACTGTGAAAACCTTTTTACACTTTTCTCTCTAATGGATTTATTTATGCAAACGAAGAATATACACTGGAAAACAAGCTTAAAAAATGAATGCTAAAACACTTTTGTAATCATTTCTCCTTTGCAGATTATCTTAATAAGTATAAACATATAAATTAATACAATACATGGCTATGCAGAGAGTCATTGAAAATATCAAACCAAAGTAGCATCAGTATATTCATGTTGTGTGTGGAGGAACTATTAATTCTAAGAATTGTGTGTGTCTGCAAAAGCAGACACACAAATAAATAAAACGCAAATAAATAATTCATAAAACAAATATTTTCTACTGTACACATTAACGATCACAAATTTTATATTACTTTTCATTTCTGAAAAGAGTAGAAAATGTTTGAAAAAGACTGTAGATGAAGAAAGAACTACAAAGAAACAGTAGTTAAAGTTATCTGTATTTTATCCGAAACACACGTGCACACGCGTTGTGTGTACGTGCGTGTGAGTATTA